TATTTGGGGTACAAACTCATGAAGCTGCCAAACAATTATGTTTCAAATTGGACTGCTAAAGGGTGGGACATCGGTAAAGAAGGAGGAAGTTACCACGTTTATTTTTTAGTTCTCTATAACACAATTTTTAGATTTTAGTCATCCTTATTTTAACCGTGCTTAGGTGGAACTAATTCGTTTCAATAAACGGAAAACCATCAATTTAGACGGTAAAAAGGAATAGACTGCGCTTTGATAACGAACTTGACAATCATGGATATGTGAGCAAACTGCTTCACATGTCCTTCCACATTATCCAGCGTATCATGTCCTCCCAACCGTTCAATCGCGCATACCAAACCGCCTTGCTGATCGCCTTGGACCCATCTGAACCGATGGCATTTTGATGTTGCATGAGATGCTGCACATCATGTAGAAAGTGCGTTGATCAGAAATTGTCACCACTTATGAAGAATGTACCGTGTTTAATCGTCTATTGCTGATGTGCGTTAGCAGGCGCTCCGCTCAGGCCTGATCCACATTTGTAATGAAACTCAATTTGTCAGGTTACGAAAGACAATTGGGTGAAGTCTGCACTAATGTCGATGGATACAAAAATATAAACGAAGCGTGTATATTGGGAAGGTTTTACGGTCAACAATAGGAGGTGACCTTTGCAAACACGATCTCCGAGTTTGGGGAAGATAAACAATTCTCACCTCGGATTGGTGTCTAGATAACATGAGCATTGTCTTAGCATCAATGGACGCGGCAGGAGGAAAGTGGAAGAACTACTCAAAGGTAGGAAGTCAGATGCGATACTGATTTAGGTTTCAAACTCTCTTTGCAAAAGAAGAGAAGGTAGAGGGTAGAAGGTAACCGATCTCACAGCGTTGGAAATACTCAATTCTCTACAGTTGACAGTCGATAGGTGCCGTTGATCCCCTACCGCCATGGTACTGCATGAAGCCAGACGATCCATTCGACCTCAAAATGTAGCTGATGACGGTGCGTGAGATCTCTTCGAGTAAAAAACTGTTGCGGAAATCTTTTAATAGGAATTTGAGATATCCACAGAAAGTATTTTGCATCCTTCTGGAAAATGAAAAAGCATAGAGTGCATATTGCGTGAATTTCTGTGAATGGTCTACCATCTGAAGCGGTCACGTTATGCACATAAGAGTTAATTCTGTCGAAGCCGGTCATTCGGAAGGAGCAGGTACCAAGCCGTGGGGCAAAGTACGTCTACCCACTGGCTGCACGGAAATCGTTCCTTGCCTTTTAACTCAAGATGTGCATGGAGATGAGTCTTTTAAGCACAGAGTGCGCCCAATTTTTTGTTAATTCTTCTTAAAGGGGTGTTTCCGCTACTTGCTCGCATCATTGGTTGCTCATATCACAGTCAGTCACTAGTTGTTTGGTGAATCACATGACGTTCTTGTAGTAAAAAATGACGACAGAGGAATTGTGGTTCGATTACTGCTGCTAGATCCTAGGAGCCCTTCGTATCTTGACTAATCAGGCCACTCTCAAGCTCAATTTTCAGGTAGCATCCACAGAAGGAACTCGAGCATGGAGCTAATGGCAACGCCAATGACAAAAAGCTCAGCCACCGTGTGGCAACAGTAGTAATTCCAAAATTCTGACCCTCTTATAAGGCACCGAGGTAATGGGTGTCGAAGCCAGGCCGCCAACATTCCATCATTACATCGATGGACACTGCATATCATCTGAATGATGAGTCCTAGGCATACCATCTTGTTCTCATGTTTCTGTTTCTCACGCTATTTAATACAACCGATCTTATTGAGTGTCTCTTTGTTTGTGTTTTCTAACTGAATCACATTTACTCGGTCATTGGGTGTTAGGTGGCCGAATGATAAGTGCCATTAGTCAAAGTCATGACATCTCCAGCACCTCATTTTCTATGCCAGCACCTCATCGAACTTTCTGTATTTCTAATCTCTGCTGAAGGAAGTCTACATTGAACTAAGCATTCCAAGAGGTGACTTTCAGTCAAATCAGTCACAACAACAAAGGAGGTGTTTTTTTATTTTTTGTAAGATGGTGGTCCGTTAGTGCAAACAATGCATTTTATAGAGGCATTCCCTTCTGGCAGATTCCGGTGATTTCGATCGGGGCTTGACCACATGAATGACCACAGTAGTTTCCGAGGTGCATCATCGAAAGTTAAAAACAACTGTTTTAAAAAGTGCTCATCTCCTTGATTATCATTTGGTCTTGAAAATTAGCACGTTTACCTACACCCTGTCGGACTCCCTCTAACCCACCTCCACAATGATGACAAGCGACGCCGCCCATGTAGTCTACTACGTCCTTTTTTCACTTTCAAGGTGAACTAATTCCCCCTTTTGCGTCTTCCAACATTGTTGGAAGTAAATCAAGCGCTACTAAGGTGACAGTGTTGTAAGATAAGCCCTGGATTCTTTACTCCATCCGAAAATGTGAGCACGTTCACCTTAGCTTGAAGGAAGGCCCTTACATATGTAGGTCCATCAGTAATTGCGTAGAAGGGAGGGCTGTGAACCTAAACCAGACAAAGTGACCACCAACTTGACAAGTTTTCGTCCGTCCGTCATGTGTGATGGACCTTTCGTTTCAAAGCGAGTCATATTGTGGAGTATTCGCATAAATTACTTGAAGACTTATCCATCCGATATGAAAATTTGATGGTTTGGATGAAGAAAGCTAACACAACTAGCTTTTTAATCTAATGCTTTCAAAATGAATAAATGAATAGTTTTTTGAAGCATTGTATTTGACAGTCTATCTGCTCTTCTGGCAGCACCAAATCGGTCTCCCATTACCAGAAATTTTGCTAACTGATCGGGCGTAGACAAGCGTACCGAGATAACCAACAACTAGCAAAGATGCCACAAAATTCTTATCAGCACCCTAAATTTAGCTAAAAACTGCCTCGTTGGGCTTTTATGGTCACTTTTAGTTTTGCGGATGGATGGATAAGTGGGTGGATATTGGATGGATGAATTTCACGAAGGAGAGGAAAATGTCAGTCAAATAAAAATTTAGCTTAGATGGGAAAAATAGGCAAAGAATTTGATGACCCCAGGCTCACTTTGCTTGTTTTATTGAAAAACATACTTTTTCAAGTTAACCTCGAATCAAAAAGAATTTATTTTTTTTTCCTCTTCTTTTCTGGAAGATCAATGCAGGCGCGTTTGCATATCCCACTAGTTCTGAACCGGTTGTCGTTGCCTCCGCAACCACTGTAGATGAAACGCACGCAACGATCCGTTGCAGCATTATAAGCCCACGACACTAATCGGGATCCACAAGTTCCTTTTACAATCGGTTGCTTGCAGTACTCGCTTTTGCCTGAAATCCAAGCGAATTCCATCATGAGAATTTAAGTCTCACTGATTACGGACTAAAGTTATGTGGAAGATCAAGAAGCCTTAGGTGTACCAGCAGCATTAAAAATGCACCTTCAGTGCTCTCGAATGAAACGAAGTGGATAAACATTAAACAGAGCTTAATATTTTGAATTCAAAGACGCTGCCCTCATAGTACCTACAACTTCTGCCTTCTATAATATGTCACTAAAATATTTCTCCCATGTCTGCTTTCGAAGTCTCTACCAAAATGGTAAGTGGGTAATCTGTCAGCTGCAGTCTACTGATTAGCCTTTGGAAACACGAGTTTGCTGGTTTAAGGCAATCTCTTCGTAACGTTGTCAATACGCCATTCACCTAGAATAAGTGCCTCATGCTCTTCCTTATTATTACTCCCCCAAGGAAGAATGGAGAAATTAGGGCCTGGAGAGTAGAAGAGAGTAGGTAGAACTACTCTTTCAAAGTGGTAATACTGCACTGGTAGAACTACGAGCACAGAGAAGGCTGATTTCACTCCATTATGATAGAACTCGAGTGGTCGCTGGAGATCGGTTAATCTAGTGCACGCCACTCAATCGGGATGTAGTGAAGAGAAGAGAAAGGAAAGAACCAACAAGATACGAGAAAACTTCTGCACTCACCTTGAATGAGGCTGGCAACACAAAGTAGCATGAGAGCTGGAAGAGCAAGCATGGTCATCGCGATCCAGCAGTGTAGTCAAATGGATTTATGCTAAAACATCCATCTCGTTATTTTCGCAATTCACGAGTGTCCATTTGATTGGTCCAAGAGAATTGGCTACACGGAGTGCTTTCTCTCGGTCGTAATCATGATAATGGATGCAAATCACAAGGTTAGAAGAAAGTATTTTACGAAAAAAGTACAGCCATGTTGCATGCAAGCTTGAAAGCTGTCTTGCTGAATGATCACCTAAATCTCTTCACAAGGCGGTAAATTATGGAAAGAGAAAACGTGGTAGGCGGGAAATTCTTGGCAAAACAATGCAAGGTTTCATACGACTGTTGAATTTTGTGTAGCATCTTATGGAAGATAACAAACAAACAATGATGGTACGCCAAAATTAGATGATTAACCTTTGTCTTTGAAAAGTCTTGAAAACGCGGTTGATGACGCCACCCAACCGGTATCCACCCATCTATCCTCCCATCCACCCATGCAGCTATGCGTTCACTCGCGTATACAGCCATCCATGTATCCATGCCTTAGCCACCTACTCTTTGAAACGCTTCTCTGTGCGTCAGTAGTTGTGCGCTCACTATAGCTGCTATTGTAACTAGTTGAATGCGGCCCCTTAGGCCATATTCGTCTACGGTGGTTGCGTTGGCAAGTTCCACCGCCTCAAGCCCATCAAAGTCCATTAATGCGCGTACTTTAACAACATCGATTAAGGGAGACTGGATTGTGTATGAGAATATTAGGCGGCTCCGTATCCCCACCACCTCATTTTCTTGGTTTTGCTATCTGCGCTTCAAAGATGTATCGTCATTACTTCATCAGACCTGTTCTATTTTTTCTATGGTGAAGAAATTTGATCTTGAACTAGGCACTTAGCTAGGTGGCTTGCATTCAAACCGGTTGCAACGTCAAAGAAAGTGTTTTGTAGTTTAACAAGATGGTGGTCCGTTAGTGCAAACAATGCATTGGGCCAAGGTATTCCATTCTGGCAGGTGATGGTAATCCCGATCAGGACTGGGCCACATGAATGATAGCAGTATTTTTCGAGGTGCATAATTGAAAGTGTTGAAAAAGTACCCATCTCTTTGCTTATCATTTGGTCTTTAAAATATCATGTTTACCTGTCCCTTGTCCGACTTCCGCAAATCTATTTCCACAGCGATGACATGCAGCACCACCTATGTTCCCTGCTATGCCAGTCACTGGTCTCCCTTCCCTTCTGAACTTTTATGGTGAACTGCTTTCCCTCCGTGTGCCTTTTAAAATTGCTAGAAGTAACTCAAGCGCTACAATGGCGACAGCATTTTAAGATGTCCCTTAAATCCTTCACCTGATTCAACAGCTTTGCCACATTCATTGGTGTTATAGGGAAGTCATATGCATGCAGATTAGCCGAATGCCACGCAGAAGGGTATCTGCTTCGAAGACCTATGAAGCTGACCATGAACATCTCAACCAGACAAAGGCATCTGTTTTGTGTTATTCAAGGTGAGGCCTCGGGATGCATTCACGAATGTGGAGGATTTATATAATTTACTCAAAGACCTGTACATTAAGCGTAAAAATTGACTGTCGGACGAAGAAAGCTAAAGCATTCGGCTTTTTAATGTACTTTATCCAAAAAAAGCAAATAAATAAATTAGAAACATAGCATCCCTGCAGATCCTCGGTACTTCCATCATCACTACATTTTCCATCCTTGGTGGGGCCCTCCTCTTTCCTGTTTTATCCACGTAATTGCAAATGAGAACACGGCTTCCGGCATTTCTTCACCATGGCTCAATGTCTACCTCCTACACTGTCTTCCTTCTGGCCTTTCTTGATTTCAAATTTAATGGGTTATCCTTTTTTGTCTTCCTTTTTTGTATCGTAAGCAGGACCTGGCCACGTCTTGGCCATCTTTTCTTGTCTCAGTACAGACACCCCACAATCCCAGACGTAGAGAATATTGCTGATATTTGAAAAGTATTTATGGAAAGGTTTGATAAAGACCATCGTTTCTTTAGTCAAATGGAAGTGTTCACGCTTTACTCTTTGAGCTCAATGAGGATGTTGACGGAGATGGCGTCTATATTTGCATGTGTAGGGATTCCATGTAAATGTTGGTTCAAATCTTTTGTCCTCTTTCAAAAATATGTCTGAGGTGTCACATCTACTCGGTGTAAGGTATTTCATGGGCTACACTTACTCCGTGTTAGGGGGGTTAGTAGATGTCATTGTCATTCATAGTAGGGTATAATGGCATTCAAGACATTTCTCGTAAAATGGCTGAAAGTGGATTTGTGATGGGGTACACATTTGGCATCTCCGATGTGCTATTCATTTAGATTGCTCGGTTAAATATGCAGTGCTTGACAAACGGAGGTGCTGCGAGATTTTTTCAGTGAACACTTCGTTATTACGGTTGTAGTTGAATTCCTTAGAGTGGGTAGGAAAAGACACGACTAATTTTGGATAACTCCGGGTTCACTTTATTTGTACCCACTGGAAAGCATGCATCTTCACTATGGTCTACGTACACATTGGAAAATTTTCTTCCTTGCCTTTCTCCACCTCTTCCTCGCTTTCCTCTTTTTATAATGCTTAACACAGGCGGTCATGCATTTAATCTTATACCGGAACCGATTTGCATTGCCTCCACAACCGCCGTAGGTGAACGACACACAAGTATTTCTTGAGTTATCGTAGCCCCAAACTCTGGTGTAGTCGGTGCAGTTTCCTTCCGCAATTGGTAACCTGCATCTCTTCTTTACACCTAAAAAACAACAGATTACATCGTATTTACTTCAATTTTACAAATTTGTGATTTAAGCTGTATTGATGAGAGTTAGCAGTATGAAAGATGCACCTGAAATACTCGCAAATGCATGGAAGTAGATGGGCATTGAATGGGCCTTAGTATTATGGATCCAAAGATCTAATCTACATTTTGCACTTGGCATGTACCCTTCTTAGCATCTGCCTTTCTTGCTGGCAACCCATACCTGCCCCAGATATCACCAATAAAATGATAAGTTTGTGGCCTGTCAAAATAACCCATAGAGGGACCCTACAGATTAGGCTCCACTGATATATGTCTAGTGATTTTAGGCAGTCAACTCATGAGGTCGACAATACGTCATTCACCAAGGGTAAGTAAGTACCTCATGGCCCCCTCCATATCACTTGCTTAAGGGCGAAATTGAAGATCAAAGCATGGGATGTAGTAATTACAACACGGCAATACTCTGTCAAGACAGAGGCGCTGCATTAAAAGGCCTGCAAGTACAGAGAAGTCTGACTTCGTTCTACCATAATTGGACCCTAGTGGTGACTGGTGAGTCCAATAGACACTTCACTGGATGGAGGTGAGGTGAGGAGCAACGAAAGCTTCGACAGGCCACAAGAAAGCTTCATCACTTACCTTGATTAAGACTGGCAACGCAAAGCAGTATGAGAGCTGGAAGAGCGATCTTGATCATCGCGACTTAGCAGTGTGGTCACCTGGCTTTAAACGAAAGTACCCTTTCCGTTATATTTGCTATTCCCGAGTGCTTGTTTGATTGGATTAAGAAATTAAGCCTTATTGAGTGCCGTCTCGAGGCTTTAGACGTGGTAATTGATGCAAATCACAAGGTTAGGTAAAGTACGTTACTGCAAAGTACATCTAGGTCAGATGCGAACTTGTAAGTAGTTTAATTAAATTACAATCAAAACTTCTCTTCAAAGAGGTAAACTCTGGAAAGAAAAAGTATGCTAGGAAGGAATTTTTTGGCAAAACAATGCAGGTTTTTGTATGGCAGGTATTTTGTTAAGGATAGCAAATGAACAACGAGGGCATCCGAAAATCTGATGATTGACCTTCGCTATCATGAAGTTTTGACAAGGCAGAAGATCCAATCTTTCCACCCATCTGTTTTGCTTCATTCAACTTGGCTTTGAGAAGTTTTGATATGCAATTTACTCTACTTTTTAATAATTTTTTTTAATGTCTAGTCATAAATTGCGTATTTAAGAGTAGTAGTATATAAATGCACTTTTTAAAAATAATAGCCCAGCCAAAAGATTAGAGCCTAAATTATCAGGCTCGTGTGAATTTCTAGACGTTCCAATGGACAGGGGATGAATGAGAAGGTGTGTTGGTGTTTATTTTTTAGAAATTATTATTTAATGAACGAATGAGGAAAGGAAGAATTGGAAGGGAAGTACGCAGCAGCCAGTAGTGTGTTTTTATTACTAACTTTGCAAATGGCGATGTGTCTGGCCAGCCCTTGGCTAAATTGACCTCCTCGAGACTAATGAAATTATTTATCCCGCCAATCCCAACACCTGTCTTGCCTACAGAGCATGATGACTTAAAATTGGAAGACGACTCATATTGAGTGGTGATTCCATTATGAATGGGCACGAACATTCCCTCACTGGAAAGATGAAGCTGAGCTGGTGCTATTTACTAGCATTGAGCTAATTTATACGTTGATCGACTAAGAATTTCTTGATCTATATACACAAATATGAAACTGAGTTTCAGGACGTAACCATTCATTCGGTAACCTAGATATGCTACTTGTGCTTAAAAGTAACATTAACGTATTAAAAAATACACACTTGTCAATAGATGGATTGAGAAAGGATAAGGGATGGATGGATGGATAGATGGATGGATGGATGGATGGATGGA